AAATAATCTTACCTTAAGAAATTTCTTCTTTGGTGGAAGAGATGTAAACGCTGCTATCGGAACAGCGTTTACACATCTTTTTTCGCTGCTTTTACGGCTATTGTTTCGCTCGCAGCCCTCGCAGCCTTTTCGGCTGCAGACTTTGCAGCCCTTTCAGCTATATATTTTGCAGCCTTTGCTGTCCTTTCAGCCGCCGCCCTTTCGAGCTCAGCGGCCCTCTCGCTTGCGGCCCTTTTAGCTGCAGCTTTTTCGGTTGCAGCTCTTTCGGCTGCAGCTCTTTCGGCCGTAGCTCTTTCGACCGCAGCTCTTTCGGCCGCAGCTCGTTCGGCCGGAGCCCTTTCTATCCTCTCAATATCCTCTCAATATAATATATATATATATATATATATATATATATATATATATATATATATATATACAGTGCCGCTCACGCATTTTTACCCCCCCACGGGCAAAATCAGTCTAACTTCAAAGTTTTATATCTCTGGTAGAAATTAACGTACAGAGACGCGCGTGGGTGCGTTTGAAAGGTCTTTCGGAGAGCTTTCAAATGATATGACTCACGGTTACCATCGATTGTTTTTTTAAATTTTGCAACAATTATGCAAAATTGAAAATTCTGAAATTTTTTTATTATTTTTGACAATTAGCCAATTTTGGAAAAAAAATCGTACGAAAATTTGAAGTACACCATTTTTTAGCTATTACCAAGCCCTATCTGAATCACTCATCAAAAATTTATTTTCGTCAAATATGACGCGCGCACGGGCATTTTTTCCTGGAAGTGACAGTTTTTTTCAACATTTTTTATCTCCGTCAAATTGTAACAATCGAAAAAAATTTATAGGAGAAAAAATGTTTGTTTTTTCACGTAGAATACTGCAATAATTTTTTTTTTTGGTTTTTCGAAAAATTTTTTTTTTCGGTTTAAATTATTTTTCAAGGTCGAAAAAAAAAAGATTTTTTTTTTATGTAATTTACGATACTTGTTATGTAGTATTATTGAATGGGTGGAAAAAAATTTTTTTTTGTGGTTTCTCATCTTTTTAGCGTACCGACTGTGAGAAAAAAAAATTGAAAAAAACCGAAAAAAAAATTTTTCGAAAAACCAAAAAAAAAATTATTGCAGTATTCTACGTGAAAAAACAAACATTTTTTCTCCTATAAATTTTTTTCGATTGTTACAATTTGACGTAGATAAAAAATGTTGAAAAAAACTGTCACTTCCAGGAAAAAATGCCCGTGCGCGCGTCATATTTGACGAAAATAAATTTTTGATGAGTGATTCAGATAGGGCTTGGTAATAGCTAAAAAATGGTGTACTTCAAATTTTCGTACGATTTTTTTTCCAAAATTGGCTAATTGTCAAAAATAATAAAAAAATTTCAGAATTTTCAATTTTGCATAATTGTTGCAAAATTTAAAAAAACAATCGATGGCAACCGTGAGTCATATCATTTGAAAGCTCTCCGAAAGACCTTTCAAACGCACCCACGCGCGTCTCTGTACGTTAATTTCTACCAGAGATATAAAACTTTGAAGTTAGACTGATTTTGCCCGTGGGGGGGGGGGGGTAAAAGTGCGTGAGCGGCACTGTATATATATATATATATATATTATAACGGGGGGATAAATCTGCAAAATGAGAAATTTATTTAAGAGCAAACTCCCACGATGCAGAGCAAACCGCCGCTCCGTTAACACGTATGTTAATACGTGTATTCGCCTTAACGTCAGCTGACTTAACTTAGTTTTCTTCGATCAAGCAGAGTTGAACTCACCTTAAGTCACGTGCCTTGTGATACTCGATGAGTTTTAAGTGTAATCGACTTTGCTCCTAATCCACTTAATCCCCTAGCTATAATCGGATTAAAACCTAAGCCTTTTTCAATTGTTTAAACTATTAGGAAAAATTATATGACGAAATCGGCGAATAAGTTTAATAGATTTTATTAATAAAAATCTCTACAGTCTTTGTCGGGCCGAAAGACTGACGCACGCGAATAGGATTTACAATTAAATAACTTTCGGTGAGAAAGAGAGAGAGAGAAGATACGAATATTGGCGCGATCTAACGCTCGACGCGAATACAAAAAATTAACGCTAACACAGTTGGACAAAATACCAAATGTATTTTGTCACGCGATAATTAAGGGAGGTGCACCTACCCTGCGGTGCAATTACGGTGATCAGCCGTAATTGTTGAAGCAAATTAAAGGTGCTCCTCCGATCAGAATCAGCTGTGCTGCCTCGATTGCAAATCTGCTGTATAATAGCTGTTGCTTTTGCTGCTGCTTCCGTGATGCTGCTACTGTTGCTGCTTCCTCGCTCACCCTTGCACACGTATCCAAAATCCAAGTAAACTTTTTTATTGGCAAATCGTTGTAACACTGTGCTAAACTATTTTGGCGGTACTACACACGTAACAGCTGAGATGTAACTGCTAATTCAAAAGATCGCGCGCCCCCTCTCTCTCTCTCAATACTTAGAACTAACGCGCGAAAATCAGAATCGCGAACGGTTCGATTAATTGAATCGACTACCGTTGCAATATATATATATATATATATATATATATATACCTTTATAACTACTTCTAATAAATGTTAAATATGTCGCCTATGCGACGACTCCGTCACGATTATATTTAGCTAAAAAGAAAAAATAAAAAGATTAAAAATAAATATATTTGATATTATATAAAAAATGCTTACCACTCTTAAAATCGCAATCAATAAATAATAAAATATGCTAGTCGGTAAACTAGCTAGCAGGATCGGCGGAGTCTAAAAAAATAAACAATTTATTATAAAAACTATCTTGAATAATTAATAGAACATATACATAAAATACTTACATTAACCATGAAAATAATCATGGCATTTATTGTACTAATTATTTGTATACTATCCATTTCTTTAATTTTTTTTTATAAAAACCAAAGAACAGTTACTAAAAAATACTAAATGCTTCGTCGATGTATTCTTCTTGAGCACTACCGAACGATTGACTCCGGAAAAGATTTTCGGACAAATCAGGATGATTCCTACTCTCCAAAAGAAACTATAGTCAAATTGATAAAAACCTTTAAAGGAAGAAGAACATTGATTTCGCTTTAGACGCTTAGCATGTTGGAGGATGTTAACGCAACTGAACAAGGCTAATTTAAAAAAAACCTTATCTCTAAGGCAAAAAAAAAAGCTTAGACGCTCAGCATGTGGGGGATGTTAACGCAACTAAACAAGGCTAACTCAAAAACCTTATATCTAAGGCAAAAAAGCAATAAAATGACTAACAGACAATTCGTCATTACGATTACTCTTAATCCAATCTCTACTGCGTAATACATACTTTCGAACGCATCTTCATTGAAAAAGGAACATCGAATGTGTTTTAACCCTCAGCATGAGGTAAAGCGTTATTGGAAGAGAGTGCAAGCTGGTGTGAGTGGTCGAAAGTTTCCTAAATTATATGTGACTCTGAAAAAGGATAGTGCACGCTGCTAGAACGCATCTTCATTTAAAAAGGAACATCGGTTGTGTCGAAGGGGCCCACTGGCACGCGGGAGGTGTCAAACGAACATCAAATGCCCTTTAAACACTCAGCATGGGGTCTCACTTTAAATTAAAAGGTATCACTACCGCGACACCTTCATCGGGTGGCCTTTTTGTGTCGCAAAACATACACATATCCCTTATACATTGGCGGCACGCGCGAGGTGTCAAACGAACATCAAATGCCTTTTAAACACTCAGCATGGGGTCTGACCATAAATTAAAAGGTGTCACTACCGTGACACCTTTATCGGGCGGCTCCTTTGTTTCCCAGAACATACACGTATCCCTTATACATTGGCGGTGTTGCGTCTTACGACGCATCCTTTTTGTAACAAATGCACATTAGGGAAATTCAAAGCTGCTAACCTACTCGCACGTCAGCTGACGAAACGCAAGGTGAATGACACTCCGAAATAAGTGTTACGGCTTACGACGCATCCTTTTTTGTAACAAATGCACATTCATGAAATTCAAAACTGTTAAAATACTCGCACGTCAGCAAAAAGCTGACGAAACACGAGGTAAAGGACACGCCTAAATAAAGTCACCAAACGCAAAATTTATATTCAGCAAAAACAAAATGTCACACCATATCGCAATACTGACCTGAAAAGAGCTATAAAAGATATAAAAAAGAATGAACAAATTACTCTCGGCAGTTGATCAGTAGTCCGTCAGTCAGTCAATAAGTACCTGTAAGACTCAACTCCGTACACACCGGTCCGACAATTGGTGGTTACTATACTTAATAAACTCGCGACTTTTACAAAGTAATATCGTGCAAGTAATTATTCAACAACCTACCCAAAACAATTCAACAAGCAGTTAGAGCCTGCTGCATTTCTGTCAACAATTAAAAACTACGATTATCAAGGTAGTGCAATTATCAGACATACATTTCCACATACATTTATTATAAGTGAGACATATCCAACCACTATTCAACATATTGGAACGTCTCATTCATTAGCTATTCGTAGTTGATGCACGAGACGTAACAGCGGCATCCTTTGTCGGCTCCTTTGTGTCCCAGAACATATATTGCTTATCTACTGGCACCAACGAATCATAACATTTAATAACCCGAGCGTACTTGCTTGCCCGAATGCGCTTCCGCGTGCTAATTGCTGTCTGTTGAACAGATCTAATGAGCTGTTAAACAGCTGTCAGGCTTGTGCGACGTAGAATTGGTAGAATCCGTGATGCTACAAATTTTTTATTAGTATAAAGACATTTCATATATTACTCAGAAGTAATAAGTTGCCAGTATAAGTCATTAGAAGCTTCTTTCCTTTATCCTAAGTTTCTAGTATGTTTATAACTCTTGATTTAAAATATTCATTATTATAACAGTTTACCGTAAAAAGATTTTACGCTATTAATTAATAATTCACAGCTGTGGATTTACATTATTTTTATAAAATATTGATAAATTTTTTACAGGTTATTCAGAAGTAGATCAGCTCTATGGAAAAAATACATGTTTTACGAAAAAGCGTACCATTAAATATAATCCTGTTACCACCATAAAGATGGACTTATTAGGATTTGAACTGAATATTGATAAGTGTGTGAAATCTCTGGATCAATCTTTATACGCGCCATACCAAAACAATCTTATTTCACTTCCTGAATATTCATTACATTCGGGACATAATGCAACATTAGTTTCTCCACTTTCAAAATTATCTTTGTCTCTGAAACACAATACTGACAATCAAATAAATATTGATGAACTTTACAGCAATGGTATAGAAGTTGTTATAAAAGAGAAAATAAAAGAAATTTATAAGAAATTAGATTTATTAACAGAAGAAGATAAAAAAATTGCTAAATGGCATGAAGAGTTAAAACCTAAATTAAGAGAAGCTGAGCATAAACCACCTTTCTTCATACATGAATATGAGGCACGTATCATACAGAAACTACGAAAAAGTAATCGCAGAGTTGATTTCAATGAAATGATGAGCAAAGAATCTTTTTCTGAAATAGCAAGATTTTTTTCAGCAACATTACAGTTGGTAAGGTTTTTATCTTTTTCATGTTTACTATTATTTCATATTCTTATTGACGGTATATTTTATCGCTGTATTCTGGTTTATTTTTATAATTTCCATAATAGAGCTACATTAACTAGCTTACAGGCTAGTTTTCCAAGATCTGAGTTCGAATTAGTACTGCGTAATGAATTTGAAAGGGAGAAATTCAGAAATCAATGTTTCCTATGTTTTTGAGGGTGCTTTTTCTAATGGTGTTCTATAAAAATCTCGGTAAGAAAGTTTTGCCATCGAAAAATCAATAATACATAGGAAAAACTTAATTTTTCGGTTGATTTTCATTTAAATAGACATTTTGATGTCTTAACATTTATTTATATGCCTAAAATTTCTTTATGTCGTGGCCTTGCTATCTGAAATAAATATTAGTAAATTTGTCCGAACGTGAAAAATTACATAGCTCCACAAATAAAAAAAGTCAAGATCAGCGAGCCAGACCAGTAGAAGCCTACATAATTTGGGTTGCTGAATTTGATTCTAGTGTCAAAAAAATCGAAACACTTTTAAAAAATGCTTTACGGCTCAAAAACACCCTCAACAAGAGGTAAAAATAATACTAAACATGTGAAAAAGTTATTTGACCAAAATTTCAAGAAAAGGTAGTCTAAATTAAAATCGAAGACTAGCATTCATGCATTAGACCTGAAATTTACTCTATCTACCCCTACATGGTCAAGAATACCCCTATATTTGTAAAAAGTTATAAACTGTGAAAAAATTAATAGTTCAAAAGAATTACGAATAAATTAATTTCAAGCAGTACGGCCCTAATTCTTATTCTTTCTAAATGCTAAAATCACTCTAAATTTTTATTTATTGAAATAAATACACTATAACTGCTTAGACTTCTACAAATGTAGAGAACGTTATGTATTAGTTTGTTATAATTGAATTAATCTTATCTTGTAATATCTTTTACATTTATTTTAAAACGATTTTCTTACTGATTGTTGTTTCTTCTTCACTTACATTGTGAAGTTTCTTCAGAAGCATCGTTGAATAATTTCGAATTAATTCATCTCTATTAACATCTTTCAGACCGAAGCGAGAAGATAATACGTCGTTTTCAAAAGAGCTTAAAATGGATTTCGAAAAGTTAGATACTTGCTGGTGTTGATCCAGACCAAGAAGAGAGCATTCATTTGATTAGAATTTCCGGTACTAAATTTGAATAAAAAAATTACGAGAACTTGTGTAACCGTACGTTTATCCGAATTTCTCAAAGAAGTCATCATTTCACGTAAGTGAATCAGCTGTTCCCATTGCAGTCCAGTGAAAGTTTGAATTCTTTCTCCAGAGATAGTAAAATCACCAATTCGTTCATGCAGCTCTCTGTCCGAAGTTATAATCATAGCTTCAAATAATTTTGTTATGCACGGTGGGTCTGAGCGACATTTAAATAAAAGTGAAAGCAGGTTTCAATTTTTTTGCATATTTCGGTAAAAATACTAATAATTAGAAGATCCCAGAAAGAATTAAAAAAAATCCCTGAGCCCTTTTTGAAAAAATCGATTTTTAAAAATTTTTATCAAACAAAAAAAATAAAAAAATAATTTTGGTTGTGGTTAATGGTATTAATAAATAAATCAATATTTTTTCGATATTTCCACAGATGCACACTTAATAATAAAAAATTCAACACCAGCATTTTGAAAATTAATTTTTTTTTATTTATTGACTGTTTTTACTAATTTTTATCTCTCTATTCTCCCATACACAATCATATTAATGGAGAAACACATGTACATATAAATATCAGTGTTTATTAATAGTATACATACGATAAGGATATAGCAGTATTGTAAACATGTGTGTTTACAGCGCGCACCTGTATCTAAGGAAGTAGTAGCTAGAATAGCGTGCTCAAAAGTTTTCACAGTTGTCCCAGCTTGATTGACCGATCAACAATGAAATCTGCCAGTAATAGTGTTCTCGTGATAAGAAATACAATAAGAATTTTGTTGTAGTTAACGTTCTGTGTTTCTTCAAAATAATTGAATTAGCAACATGAAGCGACGTGCACTAACGCACTCTGAGAATCGTTCGAAAATTTGTTTGGTTTGTCAGAAAAATAAGGCTAAACTGAAAAAAATTTGTGGAAAGTTTCTCGAGAAATTGGAGAATTTAGTGAGTTACAACATGTTGTAAAATTAAATTCTAAATTCTCCAATTTCTCAAGAAACTTTCCACAAATTTTTTTCAGTTTAGCCTTCTTTTTCTGACAAACCAAACAAATTTTCGAACGATTCTCAGAGTGCGTTAGTGCACGTCGCTTCATGTTGCTAATTCAATTATTTTGAAGAAACACAGAACGTTAACTACAACAAAATTCTTATTGTATTTCTTATCACGAGAACACTATTACTGGCAGATTTCATTGTTGATCGGTCAATCAAGCTGGGACAACTGTGAAAACTTTTGAGCACGCTATTCTAGCTACTACTTCCTTAGATACAGGTGCGCGCTATAAACACACATGTTTACAATACTGCTATGTCCTTATCGTATGTATACTATTAATAAACACTGATATTTATATATACATGTGTTTCTCCATTAATATGATTGTGTATGGGAGAATAGAGAGATAAAAATTAGTAAAAACAGTCAATAAATAAAAAAAAATTAATTTTCAAAATGCTGGTGTTGAATTTTTTATTATTAAATGTGCATCTGTGGAAATATCGAAAAAATATTGATTTATTTATTAATACCATCAACCACAACCAAAATAATTTTTTTATTTTTTTTGTTTGATAAAAATTTTTAAAAATCGATTTTTTCAAAAAGGGCTCAGGGATTTTTTTTAATTCTTTCTGGGATCTTCTAATTATTAGTATTTTTACCGAAATATGCAAAAAAATTGGAACCTGCTTTCACTTTTATTTAAATGTCGCTCAGACCCACCGTGTATGTCTTTGACAGTGACTAAGGATGAATGGAAAACGATAGTCAAATTTTTTATCTCATCTGCAAAGAATTTTTTTTTATCAGATGACTCTTGCAACATCTGTTTCCTTCAGGGATGAAGATTTGTCTCTCACTAAAAACTTTTTGGCGTGCTTCAAAAGGTACAACAAGAAACCCAGATTTTTTTCCACAAAGACAACAACAATTGTACGTTGAAATTATTCTCCTGTAAGGCAACTCAATTTTTTCTACTTCTTCTTCTTCTTTATGAGGCAATGATTTCTTTGGTTTATATTCTGGATCCTTTTTCGAAGGTTGAGAAGGTAGATCTGATGATGCTGTAGATGATCGACTGTCTGTTTGAGGAACTTGTGCAAGTTTTGTAATCTTTGAATTTGCAATACGTGCCATACCACTGCATTTTGAGCAAAGAAAATCATTCACTACTACTGTAATCACGAAATATTCGGAAAGGTTTGCCGCTTCTACTTCTGTATCAACAAATTTTTTTGAACCAATAAGTTTTTTCTTTGACAAGCCACATCCTGCACATTTTTCGCTGACACTGGACTCAGACATGACTGAAACCTGGAATGAAAGAGGCAGCTCTTTAGCCATAAATAAATGATCTTTGTTTGTCAATAGACAAACAAATATCCATCCTAAAATTTTCACTATACTGATCTTTTAGCAATCTTCAGTAAACTCCAGTAAAAAATGTAATATGTGGCAACAGTGCTGCATTTTTTATAATGAATGAAAATATATTAACAGATAACTGTTATTAACCATATAATTTAACGGTCAATAGTTAGAAAGAAAAATTATTTTTTAATACCTTCCTTTTACTTATCAACTAATTTTTTTATCGAATTTCCAGAAACGTTTTTAAAATAATTTCAATATAAGTATTCTGAGACTAATTATCGCTTGTCCTTTTATTTAAAAAAAATTTATGGAATTCGTTCATCATTGTTTTTATCAAGAATATCTGACACTTAAAAGTTGCAGTAAGAGATATGACTTCAGACTAAACATCAACACTATGCCGGCGGAAGCTCTACTACAATGGCCACCTTTTCTCTCTTGAGGTGAGACGATTTATCGGGACTAAGCTGGAGATTATCATCCAGCTATTTAGAGGAGTTAGCTTAAAGAAAGAAAGAAAGAAAGAAAGAGCAGCGCAGCCGAAATCATTCCGCAAGTTATTAAATAATGGGTTAAGATAACTGTGTGGTGGGCCCTTAATTTATGTAAACACATTCAAATAAATAATTGTACATTGGTCAATAATTAAATGAATGAAAGATAGACAGACTTATAAATAAGCAATTAATGAGGGCGTCGATAACAGTAAAATCCAGTGGCTTACCGCCGGCACACACACACTACATTCGTTCAATTTCCTATTCTAAACAAAGTCATTAATCTCCATTCATTCATTCACCAGATTGTTTCCTAACTGCTATTTACTTTATTTATGTGTTTTTTCCGGTATTTATCACGAGTTAACCATTTTAATTATATGAGATGAGTTTGAACATTTGTTGAGTATTTTTTAGTATTTTTTAAGCATTTTTATTGGTTTATATCCGATGGAAGTGAATATTCGTTTGTTACAGTGTCATTCAGCAATAAAACGTTCTTATTTAGTTATTGTTATTTCATCAATAAATAAGTTGATGATTAAGTTAATTTGTAGTTAGAAGTAGAGTTTAGTTACCCGTATTTCCAAAAGTACAAGTAAAAGTAAAATGAGCGTGATAATTTCAAATTCAAATTAGTCTATCTGTTAGTTTATTTCTTATTTTCTAAAATATTAACCTGTGCAAATAGGCATACAGGAAGACAAATGAATAATCGAGAGAGTCAATGAATACTTCGGCTCATGAACGACTGAGTTGAATTAAACGGCAGCAACGCCAGCAGTAAAATGAGCATATGCGACACCAACTCTCAAAACTCCATTCAGCCACGCATCCAAAAATTCATCTGTTTCCTTTTTATTTATTCATGTATCCGCTAATATATTATCTAATTGCTTTTTACTTTAT